GACCAACGCTGGAAACGAACTCTGGTTCGTTTAAAGCGGAGCAAATTATCAGGTCTGAATACGACCTAAGACTATAAAAATTACAGAAAACTACAAAAAATTAAAAGTGAATATGTGTATTGTGTCATGATTTGGTATAAAACAGTTTATTCTACTTTAAAACAGTTCTGTCAGTATATTTTAGTTTCTAAGTCATATGAAAACAAAGCAGAATTGACTTCCAGTTATATATTTTATTCACGGCTCTGCAGCCTGCAGACAGACAAACGTGTCGACATCTTTTATTTACAGTTTGTCAGATGATGTCAGTCAGATTTTCCGAGTTGGGTTTTGTCATCTGTGCAAATAAGCAAGCTGCAGCCGTTTCAAATATTCTGAATTAACAAAGCTGCTTTCCAGAAGTCAAAGAAATCCCACACTACCTCCCTTATTTTGACAACACAGGAAGTTTTACTTTGAAAGGGTGGAAATATTTACTGACTAGAGGGAACTTCTTACAAATATTTGACATTTTTAAGTGAAGAAAATGACCGTAGATAACCCGACACTTTGTAACACATCGCATACAGATTGAACTGATTTCAGGCCTTCTTGAGGGCCATGTTTCACCATGTGTGTTGGCTGAAGCAGTTTTGAGTGACTCACTGAGAAACAGGCTGACAGGCGGGCTTCGAGCACCCACACCCAGACTGGTGACAGCAGCCACCACCGCCGTGTAGCGGACGTCAGGCAGCAGACCCGTCAGCAGGATGGACAGAACCGCTCCATCCACAGTTCGGTTTATCTCCTGCCCCACGTCGCTGCCCAGACACCAGACCTGAGAAAAAAAACAGACCAGTTAATGGGCGAATACGCGATTCTTTTAATCTAATAAAAAGGCTTTAATTGTGTGATGCATAAAATTTATGTGGCAGTGTAGAGGGAAGATGGAGCGCCGTAAAAACGATGGTTAATTATCAGTTTGATGCAGCAGATTTTCCGGCTATAAATAGAACATGATGCAGCTGATTTGCCCTGAAGCACTGAAGCAAGAAGGTCAAAGGTTCAACTCCTGCCTTGGGCCTTTCTGTGTGGAGGTTACATGCCCTCATGATGTTTCTCTGTGCATTCTGGTTTCTTGCCTCTTTCCAAAAAACCTGTAGGTCAAGTTAATTGGCAACTCTAAACTGACCCTATAGGTGACAGCGTGTCTGACTTGTTTTTCTCCATGTGACCCGGTTGTGGACCGGTCATCGTAAATTATAATGAGTTGTTAATCGCAGGACAAGAATCTGAGCTGTTTTGTCAAATTAGATTTACCTGATTAAAACGCAGAGCTGATGTTATATAGCAAACCACTGTGGAGTTTCATGGGTTAAACTTTTCAGCTCGTAGTCCGCTACAGTTAGATCATTGAGGGAGCAGTGGTTCCCAACCTTTTTAGACTTGTGTACCCCCTGAGCCATCTTGTCATACCACTAGTACTCAAATGTAATGATGATTCTCCAAAACTATAATGTACAACAGCTGATTATTAAATGAAAATTAATTATTTAACACACTACAGAACATTTAATTCTTAGGCATTTTATTCTTTTCAACTCAAATTAAACAGAAATATAAATACGTTGCCTTGAAAGTGAATAAGTAATTAAATAAATAAACCAGGTAAGGGCAGGTGCAGGAAGCAGCAGCGTCCAAAATACATCAAATACCCCAAATGAGCAAATTCCATGTTTTATACAGGATTCCATTTTGTGTCAATTTCGTAATTCTGTTCGCATTTCATAGGGCCCTACATACTGTATCTCAGTCCTATATTTATCTTTTTACATACGTGGGAAATTTTTCCACATACCCCCTGTAATATGCTTGCGTACCCCAAGGGGTACACGTACACCTGGTTGGGAATCACTGACTTAGATATATGCAACTTGAATGGCTGAAATGGCTCTGTACAGTGGCCGACTGGTGCAAACACACTGCAAACAGCAATGTGCTGAAAACTCCAAAACACACAAACACAAAAAAAAACCTAATGTAACAGAAAAATGCTGCAAAATAAAAATACTGCAATCATGAAAAATGGACAAAAGCAAAAACCTACAACCAAGAAATGAATGCAACGGAATGCACTAAGATCACCAAGTCATGTGGGACCAGAGCCCTGTGAAGACAATTAGAAAGGAAGAAGGACCTCTTCTTTCTTCCCTCCAACTGTTTGCATCCTGTTGTCTTTACATGGGTCTGATCTCATATAACTTAGTGATCTAGTCCCCCTAGTGGTCTGGGGGTCTTTCGTTTTTTGCTGAGCGGAGTTTGCAGGGTTTTCTTGTTTGCAGTTGTTTCCCCTATTTGCATCATTTTTCTTTTGCATTTCTTTCATTTTATTATTATTTTTGTCTTGTTTGTTTATTATTATTTTTACAGAAACACCAGCAAACCTGCTGTCACACTGGTCTGACGTATAGCTGAGCACAGAGCAGGTAACTGACATGCAATCAAAAATAAAGAGGTCACGCTTTAACTGTCAGGCGTGAACGCTCAGAGTCAGATATTTAATGAGAGTTCTGAACAGCCTCTAAGTGCAGTCTCAGCAGAAAACAGGTTTGTTTTATTAGATAACTATGGTATTGTGGACAAAGCCTTAAAAGATGAAACTTTAAACATCTATAACATTTAAGTTTTTCTCCAGCTGGTCAGTATGAAACTGAATTCAACATCTCTGTTTTTCTGTTTTCCTGCAGCTAAAATTCAGGACTATAAAAGCTCTCCATCCTGTTTTGTAAAATGATCACAGCTTTCCTTTTGTATCAAACATTTTGATCAGCAAGGTAGCTGCGGTAACACACTTCCTTTTCCTGCCCTGCTATAATTTGCATATCTCTCTACATTGATATGCAGGGAATTCATCTTTCATTAATTAACCTTTGGTGAAGTTCTGTGATGAAGACAGAGAGGGGCTGCAATGAAAATGTGTGCAGGAATACCATGCAGCTGCTTTAAGATCTTTTTTTTTATTTTTCCACATTTAAGCTTTTGACAGCTTGATCCAAATGCAGCATGTGGTTCTTTCAAAATAAATAAAACAAAGTTAAGGAGACTTCATTCATTGTAGGTGCAGATGGACAAGAACACATCAAAACAATGGAATTGAACTTTTTCCTGGAACAGCAGCTTGATGATTAGTAATCAGTGTTGTGCTGATGCTAGCGGACAGATAATCAGGACTCTGTGTTTTTTTTTTTCACAGAACAAGCAGATGACAGGAACAGTCAGTGTTCGGCAGACAATCTGATGACAAAACAAGAACTGGCAGCACTTGAGCAGTAAGAGTAATTACTAATTGTTAAATATGAATCAGTGTTTCTCACAACCGTCCAAACAACAAATCTGTACATCACTGAGGAACGAAGCTTAAAAAAAATACAAAAAAAATAGTCATGGTGCGAAAGAGCAAGTCGTTCCACTTTGTTTGGTTCTGTCATGGTCGGAGGATCATCAAGTCGTTGTCTCACCTTGTACTCCTGGATGATGCCGGTCTGAATGTTAGGAAGCGGTGGCTCCCAGGAGACGCTGATGCTGGTGCTGTTGGCGAGCTGCAGCACTGAAACCGCCTGTGGAGGACCACTTAGAGCTGCAGACACAATAAGATGGTTATACTGGTGTAGGAAGTGACCGATACCTCTTTTTGACATGTTAGCTCTCAGATTATATGTTGGAGAAGACTCTCCACTGATGACTGTTTGAAAAATGTATCAAAACCCATTCAGTGGCTCTTCAGACATTGTGCTAACAGACAGACACGACTGCTTCTACCTTCCTCGGGGGTCCGCAGCAGAACCATGAGGCTATCGTGACCCTGCAGCTCGTTGAAGTACGGCCGGATCTTGACCTCGTAGTCTTTGTTGCTGTGCAGATCCGCCAAGACGGCGCTGTAGTCCGAGGTGGCCTCCACGTCTTTGACCAACCAGGATCCACCGACGGTGCGATAAAATACCCGGTAACCCTGAATGTACCGTGACTGACGGGCGACCTGGAAAAAAAGAAGACGTTTCGCAATTAGATCAACACTCAAAACCAGCCGTGTTTGTGCTCAAGAGATAATCTGTTTACACCACGTCATGTTTGAAGGAGCTTTTTGAAGTTAATGACTGGAGATTAGCGTGTCTTTGAAAGCAAAATGCCCCCCCACCCCCCCAAGCGGTGAAGAGAACTCACAGTCCAGGAGACCCTAGCGCTGGCGGGGGACAGGAGCAGGGGTTTCTGCAGGTAGATGGACACCTCTCCGAGCTCTCTCTGCACCTGTCTGTGGTCCACGCCCTGTTCTGTGGGGCTGCCGTCTGAAAACAAACACACAAACAAAAATAATCAATTCAAACCCAGATGAAAAGCAAAGCGCAGCTGAACAGCAGCCACTCAGCAAAATGGAAAAAAAGAGAGAAGAATTTAAAATTCAACATTGCTCACGGCAGAAGAGCATCACGCTGGGAAAGCAATTAGTTATGACACTGCACATGAAAAACAAGTTTTTGAAACATTATCTCTGCTCCACATCCAGTATCTTGATTTTTCTTCTGTAAAAATGAAATGCAGGCTGAGAAGAAGAGGAGAAAATGTCTTTTTCTCTGCTTCTGTAAACCCACCCTGAGTCCTGACGGGCTCAGAGATCGGACTGGGGTCGCTGAGGCCGTAGGAGTTGACCGCTCGAACAATGAAGAGGTAAACCGTGTTCGGGAAGAGTCCGATCACCGTGTGCCTCTCCTGCCTCACGTGGTCCGCCACGGTTTGCCAGGTGCTGCCGACTGACTGGCTGTAGGATGAGAAAAAAATGAGTCTGAGAAGACAAATAAAATTATAGACCCTTTAAGGGACTCGATGACTACATGAGTCTGGTTTGCTCAGATCGTAATCAGGAGCTGTAGATAATGTAAAAGACAATTTCAGGAAGCAAAACCACTTTTTTTTACACTCCAGTAATCTTGGTATTTCCTGTCAATGCTGACGAAGTCCTGATAAGTCAGACAGCCAGAGTCAGAAGAGATCTAAAGTTTACCAACAATAAATTCTTGTAATGATTGTCATCCTTTATCAAATCTTCTGCAAAACTAGAGATCACGATGGCACGAGGCCTAATCATATCTCAGCCCTTTGCTTTTATTTTTAGCTTTAACCAGTGTTTTGTATGTTCATGTCAGGGATTGGTAACCCTTAACCTTGAGATTTAACAGGGAAAGACTTTAAAGCAAAGGGATCCGAAAAAACAAACTCCATGAATAGATTGGCTCCAAAAAAATAATCTGTTTCTGACATACAGACAGTGGTTCCTAAGATATGTTGCTAACAGACAGGCAGGGTTGACTCTAACAGTTATTATCTTGCAGAATGAGGACCGAGAAGTTTGGTTTACAAGTATAAGTAAACAATCTGTCCTGTGTTATATCAAGTTAATGAGTATTTTTGGCAAAAATGTGTGTGAAAGTTATTTATTTTCAGTAAATGAGTATTTGTTTAATAGGAAAAGACAAAAATCCCAAATCCTATTATATCTTGTTCTTGACATTTTTTTTTCATTATAAAAACAGTGGAAAGACAGGCTACACACCAAGATTTAAGGTAAAAAGTAAAAGGTCCTTTAATAAAAGAATGGACCAGCCATTAAATGAGTTGCCTACCGGCTCGGTGACTAACGCACCTTCAACAGGGCAAATATCATATGGCTCAAT